TTCCCAGTACTCCTCAGAGGAGAGGAGGAGAGGTTTTCTGACCCCTGCTTGTCCCATCCGAAGTGACAGTCATGCGTGAACCAAGCCTGATCCCTCAGGTCGAAAGCTGAGAGCCTGCTGGACTTGAGCTCGGGGACACTTAGGTAGATCAGGTTGCCGTCGGCATCGGCGCTCCTGAGGTACCTGGACGTCTCAGGGTCACCGACTTGACTTGGCAGGAGGAGAGGGAGAATCAACTTGACATCCGTTGAGAAATCGGCGGAGAGGATGACGGAGGTGTGTGCTGAGGAGTTCTCCGAGACCTTCTTGTAGTTGTACCGCACGTCGTACATCACCAGCGAGGCCTCTCTTGACCCGACCAGGAGGTACCTGGAGTCAGTAGTAGCAGCAGCCGTGGTAGCAGGAGCAGGAGCAGGAGCAGGAGCAGGAGCAGGAGCAGGAGCAGGAGCAGGAGCAGGAGCAGGAGCAGGAGCAGGAGCAATAGTACCAACACCACCACCACCAGTAGTATTAGTAGCAGTTCAGTACCACCACCAGTAGTAGGGATTAGAAGTAGTTGTGTAGTAGCAGCAATTCAGTAGCAGCAGCAGCAGCAGCAGCAGTAGTAGTAACAGTTGTGTAGTAGCAGTAGTAGCCAGTCAGTCCTCTATTTCCCTCCAAGTCCTCCAATCGTGGGTTCACCTGCAGTCTGGCGAGAACTTGATTATGGTGATGTAGCGATTGCTTCTTGCATGCTCAAGCACGCACAACATCTGCACCATCCGTCCGTCATGCAGGATGATGATGATGATGATGATGATGATGATGATGATGATGATGATGATGATGATGATGATGATGATGATGATGATGATGATGATGATGAGGAAGAGGAAGAGGAGGAGGAGGGGGGAGGAGGGAGGGGAACGACAAGCAGGGAAAGTGTTGATGGGAGGATGAGGGGGAGGGAGAGAGCATGGAGACCGTCGACGAGTCCCACACGGTGAACTGTCCTCCCCGGTGACCTTGCAGTCAAGTCAAACTCACGACCCAACGAGGACGAGGGAGCATGCTTCACCGACGGCGACGAGCCTGCCGTCGGACGAGACGTCGCAGCAGACGCCTGACAGGACTTGAGACTGTGGGATCGAAAACCTCCTTGTCCCTTGTCACCAGGGATGCCCATGTCGGCGACCGCTATCCTCCCGTTCTCAAGTCTGTGGAGGTTCCTGCATACGCGTCGATGACGCTGCTGCTCCCTCCGCTACCTCCTCACCCACCGGATGTTTGTGTTCCAGATCCGCAAAGTGCAGTCGTCTCCACACGTGCAGATGAACTGCCAGTTTCATGTCATGCCAGGTCGACGACGACGACGACGAGGAAGGAAGGCAGGCAGGCAGGCAGGAAAGAAGGAAGGAGTAGCAAGGGGAGCAGGAGGAGCCGTTGAACCTCGCTCTGCTCCAAAGGAAATGCGCAGACTATCAGGTGGAGGTCAGCTGGGGCAGAAGCACATGGGACCATCACCTCCTGAGAGAGCCCAGGGTTGTCTTGCAGGCTCTCCAACTCCTCCGGGGTTGTAGGAGTTTCTTGCCTAGAAGGGGAGGAGAGTCACGTGGGGGGGGGGAGAAGCGGTAGAGGAAGACGAACGAGGAACGAGGAGGGAGTTGGAAGAACAGGAAAGGTGGAGGAGTGCAGGAGGAGGAGGATAGGAGCAAAAGGAGGATGGAGGATACTTTGTGGATAAGTGGAGAAGAAAGGGATCCCGAAGAAGAGGAAAAAGGGACGGGGATTTGGAAGAGGAGGAAGAAAAAAAGAGAGAAGAGGATGATTCATGAGGAGGACCATGATCCTTACTATTCCTGAAGAAGCTGAGCTGCAGGATGTTCTCCAGACCTCTGTGTTGACGTAACACTGGGAATGTAGTACTCTGCTGCCATCGAAGGCCTCAGTCGCGACCTTTGAGTCGAATCAGCCTGCTTGTCAGCGGTAGATCGGATGGACACATGGGGCCTCATGAAATGCTGCGCGCCTGTCTGACCTCGTGCCAGCTTCTGATCTGAGGGGGGTAA